GAAACACTGTACTAAAGTAAACTTATATATACCTTGAGCTAGCAATGAAGTATTGGAATACAATACACTTTTCCCTAAACCAGAGAAGTCTTATTATTTCAAGCAAAAAGGACATTCAGCTAAAACAATAATGAGCAAGGCTTCGAAGCTTTAAGGTGACTATACCAAGCTTGAATCTGTTTCTGCTGAACTAGAAGAATGTATCAGACCTGTCTGGTTCTAGTCTATTCCTTGCCTGACTTGTAATGGCAACTTCCATGATGAATCAAATGAATCAAATCTGTGGTGGTAAGTTTCACTATCTATCCTAATAATTAGCTATGCAGCTTTAAAAAAAAAACTTTGAACCCACTAGGATTCTGTTAGTATCCCTCTCACACCTCACAAGGATTACTTCAACATTCAATTTTGATATTTGTTTGGACTGGAGACTTGCCATCTGCTTCTTGTATTCTCCCCTAAAATGTTGACCATCATGAAAAGATTATCCTTGTTCTATTAATTTGAACAGGTTCACTTTATATGTCCTTACATTGCTTTTCCTATTCTTTTCATCATATGTGAGAGTGAAATCAGGAATTACATTTCTAGGGATGACATTTGTAAATAAAAGCTGAGCTGAGCTCCAGTCTTAGAACACTTAGAGAAGTACAAAAGGTTGGTGCGGTGAGTGGTACGAGGTAGAATTTAATTGAATAGGAAATAATGGAAACACACAAATACAATAAAACCAGATGAAAGTAGAAGTGTGAACTGTGCATAATAGGCATTTGGGTACCAGTGAATGATCACAGAGGATTGATTTTCTACTTGATGCTTCTATAATACTCTACAAAGTAATGAGAAAAAATTTCTTCACATACTCCCCACCCCTGGTTTCTTTGAGTTTGTGATCATGTGCTGATTGTTAAGAATCTCCTCATCATTTAGCTAATATATTCTTATATGTGTTTCCATGCACATGATATATGCATTGAATTTGAGAAAATTTTGTTTACACTGCCATGCTCCCCCTTAGAAAAGGGTATACAGAATTGTTTTAAAATTAGTAAATGATATTATTGATTCTAACTATAATAGTCCTTGACATACAATCATAATAGACCCTGCCCTTTATGAGTGTGTCATGAAAGTCATATAATGACTGACTAACATTATTTTATGATGTGTTTTGCAGTGGTAGTTAAGCCAATTACTGTGGTTATTAAGTGAACCAATAGTTTGCTAAGGCATGGTTATGCTGAAAACCAGAAGGAGGTGCTAATTTTTGGCAAAACTATCATAAAATATGGTCACATGGCTTTAGGACACTGAACTGAAGCTCCTGAAGTTTCATCACTTGTCCATGGAGGGGCCCAACTGTTGGATTTTTGAATCAGAGTCATAATTCCCCCCTTTTGGCATCAATTATAACTTTGAATAGTTGCTAAGCAGCTAGTCATAAGTTGAGGACTACCCTATGGCTAGTAATAGTATTGTATTGTGATTCTGTCAACAGTTGGATACCAAAAATATATTTTAGAATAGTTTCATCTTCAATCACAAAAAGGAAGACATATTCTTACTTCTTTCTGCTTTGAGATTTTCTCTTATTATTATTTCCTACTCCACAACCCACATGCTGGCACAGAATCTCTGATACAGAAGCAGATGGGATAGAGAAGTGTGAAAAGATTTGGGAAATGAGATAGGGCTGTTTTGGGGAAGTTTTGAGAGAGTAGAAATTGGGCACAGGGGGATTCTGTATTTTTCCCTGAGAATCAGTAGCCCTAGAGAACAAAAATAGGTATACTAAAGCCAGAAATTGCAATAAAAGTTATTTATTATTAAATTTATTTACCTGGGGAAAGGGGCCTGGTAAGAAGGAAGGCTATCTAGAAGGGATGAAAAATGTACATCCAAAGATTCAAGTTGGTAAACTCCAAAAGGGGTTATGAAGAGCTCCATCTAATCCTCAACATGACAGATGAAAATCTGTGTTGATATCTGCAGATTATTGCCCTTTGAGACAATAATCCCAAGTGCATAAATGTATGTTGATAATTCTGAATTGGCTCTAATGCTGTGTGTGTGCTCAGAATTATTCCGATGGGACTGGATGTCTCAAGCGGGCATTCTAATGCCATTATATAAGTGAAGTGCATCCATAGCAAGAATACTCAATGTGATTTTAGCTATCCAGTTTGAGCCAGGCTGATGATACAGGAGGCATATTTTTCTTCTGAGAAGACAGGCTTAAGTAATTGGGGAGTTAGAGCATAGGAAAAAAAATACATTAAAAAGGGCATATTTCAAGAATACCATCACACAGAGACTACTGCATTAAGGATAACTAATGTGCAAGCTCCCTCTTGGAAAACATAAACCGCTGATTGATATCAAGCTAAATGCACTGGAGGGTTTGTGTAGCCAGTCATAAAAGAGGATGACATTGCCATTATGTTTTTCCCTGTTGTGATTAGTTGATACGCAGCCAACAGACAGATTGCTGAGGTGAACTACACTGATCTTTGGCGCAGAGCGGCTGCTAGGGCCGTGAAGGGCTTCTATTGCAGATGCTGTTTTTGACTTGGCCATGGCACAGCAGGGGAGCTCCCAATAGTGCCAGGCATTGTCTAGGGTGTTGCCTGACCTCCTGCAGATGCTCCTCAGGAATCTTCCTCCAGAGGCCAAGATGATGGGATCAACTGCATAGGTGTCTTTGACCGATTAATTTCTTTTTCTTGGTGTTAACATTTTAACTAAGTTAGGCAAATTATACAGATGCTGGGCTTACTGACCAGAAGATTGTCAGCAAAAGGGACTGCATGACGGGGTGTGCTCTTGTCACTTGCCCCAGATCTTGCCCACCTAGCAGATCCAAAGCATGCAAATCAGAAGTGATATTCTGCCAGTTCGCACCGGTTCAGGCGAACCAGTAGTGGCAGTGGCACAAGGCTCTGCCCACCCACCCAGATGTCATCATGGACTTGCCCATGCCCAGAAGGTTCTGTGCATGCCCAGACATGCCGCACAGGAGCGAAGCGAGCGCTTTCACTACCAAACCAGTAGTGAAGATAAGAGGATACCATTACTGATGCAAATGTGAATAGATAAATAGGTACCATATTGATGAGAAGATAATAGTGTTCCGTGTGCCTCAGCGTATAGTCATGCTGGTCACATGACCACAGAAATGTCCACCCTGGCTCCCTTGGCTAAGAAACAGAGATAACCATCCCCTTAGAGCCAAGGTGGCGCAGTGGTTAAATGCAGCACTGCAGGCTACTGCTAGATCAGCAGGTCAGCGGTTCAAAT